TATTCATCGCTCGATTCCTCATCTCCTTATCGAACATCCGCAGATTTATTATTATTGATTTGCAAAAAATTACAAAAGGAAAAAAAGACAAGACGAAGAGAAGAGAGAGAGAGAGAGAGAGAGAGAGAAAGGAAACATGTCAGAGAATACACGATTGAAGAACGATTAATGACATTTTAGATTTAAAAGAAAAACCACGAAGAGAAGTCGGTGGACGGTGTAAAAACAATTAACGTGTATATATATTTCCATCGTAAGAGGTGCAGCAACATACAGATTCAGTTTGTCTTTCGATGTATACAGATACAAGGATTATCCAACTCGTAAATTGTAGAAACGGGTACAAAGGGAACATCGGAAATATCCGTTCTCCGAGCCATTTCCATCGAAAAGAAGGCCGTGTCGACTTACAATCTTTCGACGGGAGTTCATTTCTTTTTTCTTACTTGTTTCTTCAGGCAGTGTTGTGCATTGTTCAGATTTTGTCACGACGATCTCGCCATTTTTTACTGCCGCGGGATTAATTGAAATCGTACACGAATTGGTGCGAACGTTGTTTAAAATTCATCTAACAGCGAATTTCTTCTGTACCTGTAAACTCGACGAAAGTCGTTCTAATACGCGACCGCGAATCTGTTCTCTTGTTTCAATGAATTCTGTGTGAATTTCGCCTGCACAACACTGATCGTACACGTGTAAATACGCATCTCGCGCTTAGTACACGCGAAAGAGCGCGAAGAAGAGGTTCGAGCTCTTTCGGTGCAATCTCACCGAGCGTGAAAAAATATTCGATTTTCTTATTATACGCGTTTACCGTGTATCTTCAGCCTTAAATTGATATGTATTCGACGATAACGCCGCGAAGATCTCTCCCTCGGAACGCTACACTGTCGAAGGCACGATAGTCTTCGAGTTGAAACGAAACTTGCACTTTCGAGGAAAGAAAGACAATCTCGAAATTAAACGACGAGGAAGAAAAGAAATTAAACGAGGAATAAATAAGGATGAGCGCATGGTGGAGAAAAAATGAGAAAGCGCGATAGGCAGGTTCGTTGAAAAATTATATTTTTTTTTTCCATTCTGGCACGATTCGTAAACACAACATAATTTATAAATTAACATACACAATCGTCGTCATCAATAATTTACAGAAACCCTCGTGAGCGTTTTTCTCTTCTCTTTTGTTCGGTCCTTTGTTCGTCGTTATACAAAACGTAAACAGAATGTCGCGGAACCGCAAAAATCATCCGCGGAAGAAAAAGTCTGCCGTCGTCTTTCGTCGTCTCTCGTCATTTTCGCCCTATTTTTTCCTCTTCTCCTCTTTCGAAAGGTACACAGAAGAAAACGACGCTCGAGGCTGGAGAAGAAGCTCCAAGGATCGCGCGTGGATCCTCTGACAGGCGCGACACCAAAAATTGGAAACGAACCTTATAAATGCGTGTGTTCGTTCGCGGAACCGGAGCGTTCTTCTCGAGCCCGAGAGGACGAGGAAATCTGGCTAGACTTCCCGATGAAAAATAAGGAACAAGGGGAGAGTGGGAGAGGGAGAATGTAAGAACAGGACGAAAAATAGGAAGCTTGACTTGCGAATAGGATAACAAAATAAATAATAGAAGCATTAAACATGATTAATCACTTAATTACAAGAGCAGTTTGTCTGGCACGGCGATCGCTTAATTGCCTTGAATACACGACGAACGTGTGCTTTGCTGTTTTTCTATTTTCTCCTTTTCTTCTTTTCCTCCATTTATACATATACGTCCCCCTTTTCATCTATTATCTCTTTTTCAAATTTATAACTCTCATTTTTTTTCTTCAAGCGAACAGGGCTCGTTGCGCGAGAGATTCTCTCAGTTTTTAAGGCTGAATCGCGCCGAAGGACGGGTCTGTCGAGCCGGAAGTCTCTCTCTCTCTCTCTCTCTCTTTCTCGAGTTGAAACGAAAAATACGGTAAACGATGCAAAATTAAAAAATGTCCTTATCCCACAATTTCACGTGGGACGAAAAAAAAAAGAAAAAATAATGAAAAATGACAAGAAAAAAAAAAAGGATTTTTCTCGCACGCAGTCGTACTCAATTTTTTCTGCATTATATTTCCACGATATAATTTGCATATACAGAGAGAGAGAGAAGAAAAAAAAAAACAAAAAATATGAAAGATCTGAATATTTGAATAATTCGAGATCCATCGAACGAGACCTTCCGCCTCGAGGTCTCTCCCTCGTGTATCCTTCTCTTGTCACTTCGACAAGCCGCCTTTCGAGTAATCGTTCGATCGACAGAGGCAAGTTAAAATGGCAAGCAGAGAGCGACAGTTTCCCCTTAATGGCTAATTACTCGTTCCGTTCCTCCTTTGAAACGCTTAAAACGGTAGACTAATTAGAAAAAACCTCGGTATACAAAAATACAGATATATGTACATACCTGCGTGTATATGTGTGTACGTGTCAGAGCACACATCTTACCATCGTGTGTGTGTGTTTGTGTGTTCTGTGTATATAGTATAACGTGTACATACGTGTGTGTGTGTGTGTGTGTGTTTTGTTCATACGGATGAGCATCGTGCGTGTTTTACAACGGGCGTGACTCGCGATATTCGTCACTGCCTGTTTTACCGTGGCCACGAACGGGAGACACACTGGACAGCGGCCGAGTTATGGCAAGGAAAAAGGCAAACGGTCGAGGTTGAGCAAGGTTGAAGTAGCTAACACCGCGCGTGGTCTCCGGTGAATCGCCCTTACTACATATAAGTGTACATTGTAACCATCCGCACTCTCCCGACAGACTCTTCCAACCACGAATATTCCAAGTAAAATCGTCGATTCACAATTTCTTCAATTTTAATCGAAAATATTCCGCGAGTATTTTTTCCCGTCTTCGATACTAATTACATACCTATTTCACCTGAAACGAAACGATTTCCTCGAACAGTTTCATTCGGGTAAAAGTCGAAACTTGTCTGTCGGCGAAGTGTCGCGAATGGTCGAGAAAACACCTTTTTACAGAATGGTCGCAGCCAGCGAAAAACGCAATCGCCTGTCAAAGCTCGTGAGTATTTTCGAGGTGATCCTCGGCGTTTAAGTAATATCCCGAATGGTCGAAAAATTAGTTCGCCGATCTCGACGGATCGGAAACGCGAGCTGTTCGAGGGCGTTTCGTCGTCGTGGCTTCGCGAGAGAGCGCGACGATCCGGAAGAGAGAAGTCGAACGCGAACAAAGTATAAGTGCGTTCTCTCGTTTATCTCCAACGACGAGGAAAAACAAACGAAAAACGAAAAGATGCTTCGCGAACGACGAATTACGAGTCTCTGTTAATTTAGAATTTAATATCAATTAAATATCGAGGTGAGACAAACTCGCGTCCTGCGCTTGGTGTTTCGTTTCCCCTTTCCTCCCTCGGACCCTTTCGCGAAGTCTCTTCGACGCTGTAATAAAAAAATATCTCTCTCTCTCTCTCGCACTCTCACTCACTCATGCACACATTTTCCAGCGCACGCGCTTCGCAACATTCTCACACGCCGACAGTTTACAATGAGAATAATATTAATAATCATATTAATATTAATAATAATAAGACGCAATAATAATATTAATATTACCCACTAATTAACGTTACGTCTAGACGCTTTTATTATGCTTTAAGTTTCTTTCTTTCTGCAGGTACGGTTACGTTCGTTTTTCATTCCTTTCTTTCTTTCTCTTTCTTCTTAACTCTTTATTCTGCCTGTTACGGAGGAAAATCGTCGCGTCTCGCGGCTTCATCTCTCTATCCTCTCCTTCGCGCCTCGCATCTCGAATCTTCCCGGGAGGCTTACGCCGAAGACGTTCCTCGGCTGGGTGCCTTCTCCGTTTCCGTTCTCTTCAGTCACGAGCAACAAACGAATTTCGATAAATATACAACACGACGACGCTGTCGGGAGGAATTTCACAACGCACAATAAAAAACATTCTCTCCCGTTGAAAAATTCGTTATAACAATGAACTTTTACCGATCACGCGCTCGGTATCGCTCTTTCCTCCTCTTCGTTCTCTTTTTTGTTTTTTTCTTTTGCTTCTTCTTTTACCTTTTCGACGTCCAAACAATTTAGTCTCGGTAGATACGAGCGAGTGAAATCTACTCGGCGAATTGACAGATTTCGTTTCTCGAGCAACAACGAATGTGGCTTTCGAGAAGATCGTCGGCGATCGATACAGAATTCGTTTCTTCCCTCCTTCGTTCGAAGATAACCGCAATACGTAATAAAGAAAGGAAAAGAAAGAGAACCGACGATCTTCTCTCGGACGCGCTCAACTCGACCGATATGTAACCATGTAAACGCGGCTCAATGATTGGCCGACCGTGAAAATTTGGCACAAGTTTCATTTTCTTCATCTTTCACGAAACGACGGAACACCACGGCGGAAGACGAGTCTCCCGCGCGACAGTTTCCGTCAACCTTCGAAGCGGAAATGCGCGAATCTCGCGCATACTCCGACGGGAATGCTTTCAGATCGTTTCTGTTCTCCAGTTGTACGAGTATCGATTGAGGGAGAGTAACCATCGTTCAACAAAGACCGGTCCTTCGAAGAAATTCAGACCCGATGCAAAATTTCTAACAATAGAGAAAACCCGATAACGCTTTAGAACTTTACAATTTCGAAAAAGATCGAATAAATATCTGAAACGACAATTACAACCGGAAGAATCCTCGAAGGACCGCGACGGGAGCAACGGGGGAAGACGAAGGGACACGATAATACTGTTAAAAACCTTCCGTCATATCCAATTCTCGAACAAACAATACCTCATAACCAATGCAAATCAACTTCCAACACACAATCAAACAAAAATTCCTCAACAATGAGCAAAAACCTGTTCAACTCGAATCGTTAACACGCCCTCGTCGACATTTTCGTCAATTCCACGGAGACGAACCGATCTCGCCTACCATCGCCGTCCTCCGTGACCCCCGTGTGTCATCGCCTTCGTCGAGGTCTCGCCAAGTCTGCCTCCGTGTCGTTGGTCGCGACTCCTCGAAATCCACTCGAAACCGCGGCTGAGAAACGCGGCGGTCATCCACCTGGCCGTCGTCATTCGGCCTTGATCGTAGCCGAAGGGGAGGCCATCTCCTGCGGGAACGTCGGGCTGTCCTCGCCGGCAAGGAGGCCAGGCTCGCTCTTGGGCGTCTGCACGTCCGGGAATCTGGCGTGGGTCCTCAGATGCCTGGTGATCATGTCTCTGCGGCAGGCTGCGTATGCGCACTGAGGACACTTGTACGGCTTCTCGCCTGTGTGGGTTCTCTGATGGGTGCTCAGGTGGTCGGACCTGCTGAATACCTGGCCGCAAACCTTGCACGTGTACGGTTTTACACCGGTGTGCAACCTCATGTGTCTCGTGAGCATATCCGACCTGGCGAAACTCCTCTTGCACACGTCGCAGAGATAAGCTTTCGCGGACGCGTCCTGCGGACCCTGCCTGCGATGCCTCGATGCCATATGCTTGGCGAGGCGATCGTGCAGGCTGAACATTTGACCGCAAACCGGACAAACGTAAGCTACGTCCGCGCCCGGTGGCATTTCCTCAACCACCGGCGACACCTCCAGGTTGTACCTCACCGCGACGCTTTCCTTGGTCGTCGGCGAGGCCACGTCGCCTTTTACCACCGGTACGCTCACCGAACCCCTCGACACGATTCCTGGCGGGAGCAGTTGAAGTGCTGGCGGTCTACCGGATACTGCAGCCGCGGCGGCCGCAGCAGCAGCCGACGCCATTAGGTTCTTCATCGACAGATCTAACGGTGACTCTTGAGGGCTGGTTGTATCGCTCTCCAGGGAGCCGCTTCTCAACGGATGGTTCACGAACACGGAGGAAGTGAAGAGCGGCGGTTTCTGGTCCCATCCAGGCACCAGGTCTGAATCCGAGTGACTGCGTCCTCTGAATATATCCGGCAGGTACTTGGTGTGCATGTAATGCTCGAAACTGTACGACGACAGGGAACCAGGTGTCAATGGCGGTAGTGTGAGAGGAGTTAGCGGTGTGAGCGGAGTGAGTGGAGTTAGAGGCGAGGTCGGCGAGGGTAGTACCATTGGCGGTGTGGTCGATTGAGTACACTGAACGCAGGTGCATCCTGCGTATTTGGGCGCGGAGGATCTCTGATGAGACGGATGAAGCTGGTCGTACAGGTGATTCGCGTTGTTTCTGTGATGGTGCCTGTGCCGGTGACGATGATGATGATGCGAGTGAGGATGGTGCGGATGATGGGGATGATGGTTCTGTTGTTGTTGCTCGGTGTTGTTCGGCTCGTTCGTATTCGTGGTAGCGTTTGCTTCCTCTTCGGTGGGTGTCACGGGCTCCTCGCTCTTCAGCCTTAGAGGTAACAGGCTGATACCTGACGGAGGATCCGTGGCGGATCTCGAGGACGACCTTGGCGAACTGAACACGTCTTCTTCTTCTTCGCTGGCTGGTCCGCTGCCCTCGAACCTCAACACCTCGCCCTCGGAAGGGGAGCTCCGATGTTGGAGGATGTCTAGCACCTGGTCGAGTCGCTTCCGTCTGCGGAGGTTCCGATGGTTCCGGTTCGCGGTCGCCGCCAGGGTGTTGTTGTTGGTACAGGAGGGCGGTGGCGGCTTGGCCGGACCCGGGGGCGCGGCTGCAGCGTCCTCCACGGCGCTCTCGGCCATCGTCATCGAGGATGCGCGGCACCCGCCGCCTGGGCCCTTTATGCCGCCTACTACACCCTCGGCTACCACCGTACTGCCTCCCACCTCGTCCTGAAACAGCCAAACATCACCGTCCTCTTTACTTCTCTGTTCATTTCTCGTGCATTCTCTCTCACTCACTCACTCTCTCTCTCTCTCCCTCGCTCTTTCTCCCTTTTCCCTCCCTGTAATCTCGGTTATTGTTAAATTACAGCCTCCGCGGCGCGCTCATTTCCGATTGCACGTACAAGATCGCTCGGGACCTCGCGTAATCTCACGAATCATCCTTTTAGTGCCGGACACTATGCAACATCTCCCTGGCGCACACACACGCTTCTCTATGTTCACGTGAGCTTATCTATACGCGTTATCTACTCTACGATTCGCCATTACGCGAGGCTCGAAAGGGATCCCGCGTTATTAGACGGATCTTACTATTACAAAGTTCTATCGTCTGTACACCAGTTCTTACCGAATCGACGCGACGTAGCAGGGGTGCGACGAGAAGACAGGAGGATAACGTAGGTGGCTTCGATCTGCGGTGGACTGGATATCGATCGAAGGAACGATCGGTGAACGAACGCGGTGGCCAATGATTACGGAAACTTCTGTCGCACGAGTAAATCACGATCAACGTATCCCCAAGTTTTTTCCGCCGTGACGGACGACCGTCTGTCATCGAGGTTGCAGCAGCCATTAAATAAAAGAGGCGAGAGACGATCGCCGCCTGATCGATTTCGCCACCGAGATGGCACCTGTGACGCCGCGAGTCGAGAGAGCTGCGTACCGCGATATCGAGTGCACGCGAGCCTTGTGTACCCTCGCTGTGTGCACGTAAGATGACGTTCGAGTCTTGTCTGGGACGAGTTTTTTGCATGTTTATTGAAATTAGCGGGGATTAGCAGAGAGGGGGGAGAATAACCAATCGTGTTACCGTTGGAAGAACGTCGAGGGTAACCGATCGATTGAAACTCGATTCTCCAAGATCGTAACGAAGTGCGGCATCGACCGAGTAAAAATTCATTCTGCACCACCACGGCTGCTTAGTCCTTCTCCCCCGGCCGTCTGTTTATTTTAATGCGACCGCGAGACCACACGGCTCGTCTTGTTCGATGCGACAACGGCACTTTGTCATAAAACCACGCGCAAGTTGGAAAGAGCGAGAGTGTGCGTGGTGTGTATCCCGGGACTATTTGAAATTTAAATGGCGCGCGAGAGAACCGCGCACACCGAGCGCATGAATCACAGCGTACAAACGACGAATCGAGCTAAACCCCTCGTTTTTCGGTGTAGGCGACTTTCCGTCCCATACCAACAGGAGAAGTTGCAGGACCCGTCCGGGGACGCCATAAAATTTGTAATATCGCCCGCCGCGTTTCGACCGCTGCTGCTGCCCCCATACCGCTCGGAAATAATTGATCGCCGCGGATTATTATGATCGCGAAGGCACGAAATTGTTTATTGGTAACGGCGGTATGATGTACAGCGAGGAAATTCGCGAATGTAGAAGGGAGGAGGTGTTAGCAGTTCCTTAACCTGCTGTCTTTGCAATTTTTTAAGCGATTACGTGTCACGCGATTTCCTTTACATCAACGTACAGTGTGGAAAAGTGGTTTCTTCCTCTCGTGAAAAATGAAACTTTTCCATTCTCTTCGCAGTGTTACCCTGGTCGCGCGATATTATAAAAGAACGGTCCACTTTCGAAATTGGAAAAAAACGCGCATCAATCGTAGGAAAGATTTTTCCCGACAACGTACGTAAATTTCCTAACGTGGAAGAATCCATCGGTGTCCAAGCGAGAGAATACCAGATCCCATAGGAAAACGCGAGGAAAAACCCGAGCGAGTGGAAACGCCTGGCGTGCTTTCTTTTTTACCGGCGTTCTCTCTTCCGAGAGAGAAACGCGCGTGCGGCGTCGATTATCTAAATTACCCGCGGTAAATTAGACGTGGACGAGTCGAGGATCGTTGAAATTTTCGATCGCGATTTATTGCGGTGATTATGCGTAAAATATATACCCGCGTTGGATAAAACGGGCCTTGCGGATGAAACGCGCCGCCCTTTTACGGCCGGGGTTCGACGCCTTCCTTCCTCCATTCGAAACGCCACGCGGCGACGACGGCCGATATCCGCCGCCGGAACGACCATTTTCCACAGCTGGGCAATTAGTCGCATCCGCGGAATAGAAATTCGCGTTCCCGGAAGGCGAGGCCGCGACACAGATGTCCAAGGGGAAGACTTTCCAGCGATTCGAGCCGGCCATCGCATTCCGCCGCGTACCGCCGGCCAGTTACCGCTCTTTGAAATCGATTTGATCCCGAGTTCCTCTCGCCGGCACGGATCCTTTCATGGCGAAACGGCCGAATGCCTGGACGGTATTAAGCGCGAAACTTGCGGCAATGCTCGTCGAATTACGCAGAATTACGCGCTCCTGCGACACGGCCTTCAACTTTACGCCTTCGCCAAGCAAGTACGAAGTACGAACTACGAAATTTCAAAGATCGAAATTAAAAAGAAAAAAAAATAGATTGAAAGAATTTGGTCTGGTAAAAAGATAATTGCAATTTCTGTGCCCCCCAAAATCAGAAGAATTCCACGTAAAACTGTGTTTCGAAAAAAAAAAAAAAAAAGAAAAATTGGATAAAACGAGCGCCACTTTACAGAACAACCTTAATCGAATCTGCCACAGTTCAAAGGGATCGGCCATAACCGCGCGAACCAGCTCCCGCGCAATATTCATAGCGCATCAAGAGCTTCCATCAACGTTGTAGAGAAGCCTACATTGTACCCTGCAGTAACTAAGCCGCGTTCATTTTCATCGGTCGGGTATATTCAGCCAGAAAAGAACGTTCCCCTTCGCAACAACATCCCGCCTATCCGCACCGATCTCTCTTTCTACTCTCCGAGAGAGTATCGATGGACTTTGATTTTCCACGGCGCAGGAAGATACCCGTGTGGCCATTCGCCGCCGATATTTCGTATCGGGCATCGAAAAGATCCGCGGTTGGATAGCGCGCGAGTAGTCTCACGGCGGTCTTCTACGTCCCTGTTCTTCCTACCGTGATGATCGTCTTCTTGTTTCCTTCTCGCTCCTCTCCCTTCTCGCCTCTTTTACCCGTGGTACGGTCGGTAGAATCTCGCTGAGAGAAAGGGCCCCGATGATCGGTCGTAAAACGTAAAGGGGACTCGTAAACGGAGTGAAAAGATGTCAGAACGTAAAAGCCGAGAACAGGTCCCCGACGAGGAGGTGTGGGCGTACGTTCCTTCCATCCTCTCTCTCACTCTTCTTCTTCTTCTTCCTCTACCTCTATCCTCCACCTTCTTCTTTTGCTCCGTTCTTTCGTTTTGCCTCCTCTCCCCGTCGCGACATCGAGAAGTCCTCCGCGTCCAACGATTATTCCACCTCTCACACGCACACATGCACTGATCCCACCTTTGGCAAGTCTCTACCGAGCAGAAGAGGAGGAGATCGCCGACGCTTGAACGAGAGAGTTTCGCGAAACTCGAGAGGTCCACATCGCGCCTCTATTACACCTTGCTCCCTTTCTCTCGATCTTCGAGAACTCGACGCTGTTGTACACACACCGGCGTCGAAGGGCATTTAGGAAATGCTTAATGGTCGGCTGGTCAACACAGAGTTTTGATGCTGATTCAAGTGGACGCGACCTGTGCGTCGGTCGGCCAGTTCGAAGAAATCACCACGGGCGTCGCTCCTTTGCGTCACCGATTGCGCAACCTGCCGATTACCGTGTTTCATTAGACCAGAGAAACTTAATAGGCTCGTTAGATTCCTTCTTGTCGTGTACGCGCTTTAAATCTCCGTTTCGTTTTTTCTTTTTCGTTTGGTCGATTTCGTAAGAAGCGTGGCGACTAGAAGAGGCGGAGGAATGTTTTCGGGGAGGATTTCGAGTCGAGTCGGTAAACCGCGGGGAGAATTTGCAGGAGAGC